ATTCATTTATTTTAATTTGAAGGAAGTGAGAAAGCAAGCCACCTGGTCCAGCATTCAAATCATGGTCAGCCATGTGGGAGTATCCAGCATCTTAACCACCATGCCTGCTGGCCCTGGAGGGTATAGTTTTAACGAAAGCTTTGTTAACTAATCATTTGGTATAAAATCCCAACCAAATTTATTAATGGGAAAAAGAAACCAGTATATTTTCAGAAGTAACTATCTTTGTTGTTGCTCACATGAATAACACATGCTCACTGAATTCATTTCATTACTGCCTAGAGAGGCCAGCAGGTGGCATAGTGGTTAAGGCACTAGACTCCCACATGGCCAACCACAGTTCAAGTCCTAGACTGGACTTGGTGGTTTGCTTTCTCACTTTCTCTCTGTCTCTCTGTCTCTCTCTTTCTCTCTCTCTTCTCTCCCCACTTCTCTGTCTGTCTCTCTCTGTTCAAATTTAAAAGAAGAATAATAACAAATAAAATTAAATAATTATTTTAAAAATAATGCAATTATTGCCTAGTTTCAACTATTGAGTTGTCGGAAAAGTTATGTATTTTTCTGTGCAAAAATGCATAATGAATTTTCCAACAACCCAACATGTTGATAAGAAGAAAAATAGCTCTAAGTTCAAGAGAACAGATTGTGGGGATCAGCAGTTAGCATAGTGGCTATGTCGCTGGACTCGCACATAGTCCACTGCGTTCGTGTCCCGCATGTGCGTCTTCTCTGCAGGGTGATTTCTTGCTTTCTATCTCTCTGTCTCTCTCTGTGTCTCCAGTGAGCTCACATGCCCTATAGAAAAAAACTCTCTAAAATATATATATATATATATATATATATATATATATTTAATTTTATTTATTTATTTTTAATTTGCTATAGGACACATGGACTCACCAGAGAGAGACATAGAGAGAGAGCACGCAAAAGCAAGCTGCCTGGTCCAGGACTATGGCTGACCATATGGGGGTCCAGAGCCTCAACCATCACGCTACCTGCTGACCCCTCTTTTTAAATCTTTGACATTTTAGGGACCAGCAGTTGGCGTCATGGCTGTGTCGCTGGACTCCCATGTAGGTGACCACGGTTTGCGTCCCGGACCCGGTGGCTTAAAACTCACGCCTGGCGCATGTGCGTGCGTGCGTGACCAGGATCCCGAAAGGAGAATGGAGAAGGGATTGCGGCATGGCCATCCATCCTGGGGGGTGATTTCTCACTGTCTCTCTCTCTGTCTCTCTCTGTCTGGCGAGCGCACACGCCCTATAGCAAAAACCTCTGAAAAAATTTTTGAAAAAAAAACTTTGACATTTTAAAAAGTATTTTAGCAATCTACACACATATATGTTTTGATTTTTAGAGATAAGCACTAGGTACTTTAAAGCACCTTTTTATTTTGTGAGTTGTAAAGTTAATTTGATTACTTCATTTCAAAATTGAGTAAGCACTTGACAGAAAATCAGGTATTTTTTAAATCTTTGGGACATGCAGCAGCTCTAAGCTGTTCTCAAACTAGTCATTCAGGAAATATCAACAAATAACTACAATCTATATAGCCCCCCTTTTCCCTACTCAAACCTACTAACAGGTAAATTATAACTGTGTAGTATTGCTTACAGTTGTTACCCTTGGGAAGATCATAACCATAATGATGTTTGTGAAATAATGAAAATTAAGCATTGAGTTGCATACGTTTATTTTTCTGAGCATTCTGAAGCCTTATGTGAAGAAAACCAAATTTAACTTAAGCCTCCACTTTCTCAGGAAAGGAGGCATTAATGTTGACGCTGAAACCCCTGCGCTGAGTGCAGAGAGGGTGAGAACCAGGAAATTGTAGAGAACCGGTAAGATTGGTCTAGTGGTGGCACTTGTTTGAAAAGCTGCATAGCTGAGGCTTCCAGATGGATTGTGCCTCCCTCAGCCGCCTACTAGCTAGTGACCTTGAGCACCTTATTTGTTTTGGCCATCAGTACAGTAAGGAAGTATACCATACTATTTGTCTTCAGACTGTAACCCACGGAGCACTAGGGTTTCTTGGTGTCTTCTGGAGAGTCCTAGGATAGGCTGAATCGGAGACCCAACCACAACGGTTGCTCTTATAATGTTTTTACAGTTTTTTCCCATAAATATTTACTTAGTTTTAAGAAACTTGATCACCTCCAAGGTCTGTTCTAGCTCTATGAAAGCACATTGTTCTCTGTGCAGTCACTTTTTTTTTTTTTTCATTTCTTCTTTTGAAGGTGAGAGAACTAGAATCCACAAGGGTAAAAGATAACCTTGTGAATACAGTTGAGAGGTAAAAGTGCTAAATTAGTGTTTGGATTAGAAAGGCTGTTTGAATGAGCTTATATGATATCATATCCCTTACTTGAAAGGGAGAGGTGGCATGGTGCTTAGGGCACTCAGTCCCACAGGGCCAACTCTGCGATTAGAGTCCCGGACCCACGACTTGAGAAAGCACTGTGAGTTTGTGTACGTGCGGGCCCCAAATCCCTAGAGTAGAATGGAGAAGAAGGGATTGTGATGTGGCTATTCCCACTGAGGGGTTGGGGGTTCTCACTTTCCTTCTCTCTGTCTCTGTCTAGTGAGTGCATGCACCCTATGGCAAAACCCTTTTAAAAAAATAAATAACTCCTGGGGCCAGCAGGTGGTGTTGTGTTTAAGGCCCTAGACACTCCCACATGGCCAACCACAGTTAAGTTCCAGACTTAGTGGCTTGCTTTCTTATTTTCCCTCTCTCTCTCTGTCTGTGTCTCTCTGGTCAAATTAAAAAATAAATGAATGATTAAATAAATAATTCTTTAAAAACAAACAAAATAACTCATGAAAAGTGAAAAACTAAAAAGAACATTTGGGGGACCAGCAGCAGTTAGCGTAATGACTATGTCACTGAACTCCCATGTAGCTGACTGCAATTTGAGTCCCAGACCCAGTGGCTTAAACTCACGCCGGGTGCATGTGCGTACGTGCCCAATATCCTGAGAGGAGAATGGAGGAGAAGGGATTGTGGTGTGGCCATCCTCCCAGGGGGTGATTTCTCGCTTTCTATCTCTTTGTCTCTCTCTGTCTTTCTGGTGAGCACACGTGCCCTATAGCAAAAACCTCTCCCAAAAAAAAAAAAAAAATTTGGTTTTGAGATATAACTTATAAATATTAATTACTCAGTATTTTAAATATAATGTACCCTACTTTTGTCACTTTTAAAAAGCTCTTAGGATGCTCTATGAATTAGAGCAAATTGGTATTATTCACATTTCACAGTACAAGTATTTCAAAACTACTATTGGCTATTTTTAATTGGTTTGTCCATATAAATAGAAAATTGTAAAAAAAAAAAAAGCTATTTTAGATATACTTTTGTATTATCTGTGAAATACATAAACAAGCATCTCTATTAAAACTAAATATTTAGGTCAAACAAGCATCTCTATTAAAACTAAATATTTTTGTCAATTTTTTCACTGTTTATAAGACCTTTATTTATTTATTTATAGTCATTGATTGGAATGAGGTCCCATAGATCATTATTATTATTATTATTATTATTATCATTATTATTCTTGGATCCCACAGCAGTAATTCTTCACATTTTCTCTCCCTGCATGGTATAATTGGTTAACCATTTCCAGAGTTAGGCAGCCTAGATCTAAATCCCAGCTGAATGCTCTTGGGGAAGTCACTTTACTTCTCTGTGCCACCTTTTTGTTGTTGTTGTTAAATCAGTGATATTACATAGTGTTGTTGGAGAGATTAAAGGAATTAGTATATATAATATATTTAGCACAGTTTCCAGCCCAAGTTGGTATAGTGTTGTGTGTTTACTATTATTATATTCGGTTGTCAGAGAAGCCAGGATGTATTTTTTTTGTTTTCTATGCAAAATTGCGTCATGACTTTCCGACAACCCAATATTAATGAGCAGAAGCACAAATAATGTCTTCTAAAAAACTTTTTTCCAAGGGACCAACAAATGGTGTAATGGTTATATCAATGGTTACAATCCCAAGTAGTTGACTGTGCTTCAAGTCCAGGACTCAGCAGCTTAAAACTCACGGTGGGCACATGTGCGTGCCCAAGATCCCGAGAGGAGAATAGAGGAGAAAGGATTGTGGAGTGACCATCCCCCCGGGGAGTGATTTCCCACTTTCTATCTGTCTCTCTAGCGAGTGCACACACACTATAGCAAAAATCTCTCAAACACTTTTTTCCAGTTAAAAAAAATATGGGACCAACCAACAGTTAGTGTAATGGCTATGTCGCTGGACTCCCATATAGTAAACTGCAGTTCGAGTCCCAGACCTGGTGGCTTAAACTCACACTGGGTGCGTGTGCGTGTGTGCCCAAGATCCCGAGAGGAGAATGGAGGAGAAGGGATTGTGGCGTGGCCATCCCCCCTGGGGGGGTGATTTCTCGCTTTCTTTCTCTCTGTCTCTCTCTGTCTGTCTGGCGAGCACACGCGCCCTATAGCAAAAACCTCTCAAAAAAAAAAAAGAAAAGAAAAAAAAGTATTTTCTATTTTTCAGTTTCTTTGATTTAGAGTTCTAAATTATTTTGTATTAAGCCCCAGAGATTTATTATTCTTTAATTCTTGTGTCCCAAGTTTTATTTTTTTAATAATTATTTTATTTAACTTTTTTTAAATTTATTTTAATTTGACCAGAGAGGGACAATGTGAATGAGTGAGAGAGAGAAAAGGAAAGTGAGAAAGCAAGTTACAAGATCCAGGATTCGAACTGTTGGCCATGTGGGAGTTAAGTACCCTTCACCACCACGTCATCTGTTGAGCCCTGCCAAGTTGTTGACATAACGATGTAAGGAACTCAAACTTAAAACCTGTCGAAACTTAACCAGCACCTTCTGCTTTGACCCGATGTGTTTGTGTGTGTGTGTGTGTGTGTGTGTGTGTGTGTGTGTGTGTAGAAATGTGTCCATTTGTGTAATTATTCAAAATTGCACATCATCTTAGTCTGTTGCTACATGGGTATATTGATTATTTCCAGGTTCGGTGGATGATGTACTGGATTGTGTTCGCGCTCTATACTGTGATTGAAACCATAACAGATCAAACAGTTGCTTGGTAAGTTCTGCTATCAAGAAGGGGCCAGACTGCAGGCTCACTCTTAGGTGTCCTTTGTTTGCTATTAACTCAGTGAATAAGGTCACGTTACATAATTGTCCACCACCTCATTTTATCCATCTTTTGTTTCCTTTGAAGGACATCATTTTTGTTATAGTCCCCCTCAAATAAAGTCACTGTGCTCCTCTCTCATGTGCACTTGCTGCCCACACCTGCATACCTTTCCTCAGTATCTTGGAAATGCCATTGTAGTCATCCTTTTTCTATACTGATGACTTCGGACTATTTTTCTCTGTCACCTCCTAAATGACTCCAGCCTACTTTATGACAGAGAAAGCGAGAGAAGGAAAGATAGGTATTTGGGGCAGGATCTTACTCTATCTTTATCCTCATGCCTTCAAGTCCAAATTAGTCAGGATTATAGGCACACAACCATGCCTGGCTTGTTCATTGACTCATGAACTGAACCAAGGCCTCCCGTGCAGCTTCCAGCCTCCCAAGCAGTGGTGCTATCAGTGCACCACCAGTGCTGGGCCATGACCCCTCCTTGTAAGCCCACAGCATCTGGTGTTAGCACTCTCTCCCCATCCTTAAAGCTCTCATCTACACTATGATTCTTAAACCATGCTCAAATCAAATCAGTAGTCAGAATTTATGAGACTATTATTTGTGATAAAAACTAGTTAGAAAAAGTATGTAATTAATGATAACACCATTGTCCTAAGCCTTATATAACACTGTATCTTGCTTATATGCATCCCTGAATTTGGGTCAGAATACTTAATGATCTTTCTATTGAAAATAACTGGGAGTGGAGAAAAGTTTTTGTTAGTTGTAAAGTGTCAAAGAAGAGTACTATTTTAATTTTGCATTTGCTGGTGCTATTTTATACAGTTAAAGCAACATCTTCCCAGCAAAATAAACAATTAATAAAATATGCAATTTCTTCATTAAAAAACTCTCATCTGCAAACATTCTCACTGGGCAGTGTCAACATCCATGTGGACACCCACTCAACACCAGCTCCTTGTTTGTTCTATTCCAAGTAGCTATGAGGCAAAATGAAAACATTTTTTTTTTTTATCTTCAAGGATTTAACACTTTACTGCAGAGCAGTATTTAATGAAATAAATTCCTCTCCTTGTGTTATTTCAGTCACACAGTCTCATCAAAACTCTACCATCACCTGGAAAAGTCTTTCACAGTATTTTAAGTTATGAAAATGCCAGTATCTTCAGTTCCTCCTGCCACACAAACCTCAGCCCAAGTTAGCCCAATAGTCACCCTTCTTTGCTTTTGTTTAACCTGGGTTATTAAATGCAGCTGGAAAAAAATCAGTCAGCTGCTCAAATAGGTATCAATTTGAACCTCATTATTCCTTTTACTTCCTTCTGGTCATTTTCTGCTTCCATTCCCACCTGTGTCTGTTTCAAACCTTTACTGTTCTCTCCCACTTTGTATTTCTGATTGTCTCATAGCACTTTAGGTCACACTGGAGTTGCCAAAAAAAATACAGAAGTTATCAGACTAAACTATTCTCACCACCTGCCTTTGTTTATGAATGTCTCTGTATCTGCGCTCATCTTTCTCCTCTGAATTGCAATATTAAGTTTTCCCACTTGCCCCCAGGCTTGTTCATCTACCTGTTATATTTGTTTTGGGGGAGATTTTTTGTTTGTTTGTTCATTAAATGACAGAACACAGATGTCAAACTATCTAGGTCTAAATTTTAAAGTTCTTTTGTTTTTAAAACATCACTTTTTTTTTCTTCTGATGGTAAATGCAGCCTATACATGTTGTTAAAAAGTGTAGAAAATATTTAATATGAACATTGAAATAAGGTGATTCCTCTGTAATTGGATTGTGGCAGAGACCCTTTGCTGACTACTCAATACTCATTAGTCATCGCTCACTTCCCGTCTGTCTTGCCAAAGCACCTAGAGTCACTCAGTTTATCATATATCTTAATGCCTCAGGGGCCACAAGATGTTGGTCCCTCATGATGTACTAGTTAACTGTGCCACGGCAACAAACAACCCTGCAAGCACTTAGGCTTAGAAAAATGAACTTTTACAGTATTTCTTACACTACACAAGGGCAGTGGCCACCCATAGCTTTGCTGGACTCGGCTATTTTAATTATTTTTTCATTTTAGAACCAAGGCTGAAGGAGCAGTTATTTACATGGCCAAAAACAAAAGCTTAAACCAAGGGGTTGAAGGTGTTGGGGTGAAGGAGTCAGAGGATATTTAAAGCTTCTACTTTCATGTAACGAATGTCAAGTTCACAGTCTGTTGGCTAACTCCACAGTCATTGGTTGGGGAATATTTTCAGCCTACAGAGAAGCAAGTGCAGTCACATGGGGAGAGACACGGATTTATAATCCTAACCCCCAGTCTACCACAGTTGTAATTCCATTTCTCTTGCGACGGAGTGATTCAGGTCTACTAAGTGTTGCAGTTCTGGCCAGAAGAGATTGGAGGGGGAATTTTGTGGGAGTTTGGAGAAAGATAAGGAGATGCCTGCATGGCGTAAACACATGCACTTGGAGCATATAACGCTGTAGCCTAGTGCATAGACGTATGTCGTGGACTCATGGCAGTTTGGCTCCAAAAACAAGGTAGGTTGTTTTTACTGCTGAGGTTAAATGCTCTTAATGCCCTCTCTTAACTACTGCAGTCATTTTGGCAGCTTTCCTGTGCTTCCTGCAAAGGAAGAATCTTGTACTAGAAGATGTGAATCTCTGCAGGGTCAGGTCCCTGTTTCCTAACTGAATTGTAGCCGAATGAGATGAATTCATCAATTCAAACATATTTGTTTTTTGGATCACTAACTGTTATGTTTGAAACTTTTATATAGGAAAGCTCAGTATAATGACTGAACTTTTAAAAACTTATTCTTGTGATTTCCTCATTATAGTTTATTTTTCACCGGCAGCTTTTTCCAAATTTTTTTGTTAGGTTTCCCCTGTACTATGAGCTGAAGATTGCTTTTGTCATATGGCTGCTCTCTCCCTATACCAAAGGAGCAAGTCTAATATATAGAAAATTCCTTCATCCACTTCTTTCTTCAAAAGAAAGGGTAAGATACATGTTATTTTCATAAATCATTTTTCAGAAATGTATATTGACATATGCTGTATGCTCTAAACTTAATGAAGAGAAAGTTTTAGGCCTGGCTTTTTTTGTTTTCTTTAAGAGGTTTTTGCTATAGAGTTTGTTCGCTCGCCAGACAGTCAGAGAGAGACAGAGAGACAGAAAGCGAGAAATCACCCCCCAGGGGGGATAGCCACACTGCAATCCCTTCCTCTCCATTCTCTTCTCGGGATCTTGGGCACACATGCACACGTGCCCAGTGCTAGTTTAAGCCACTGGGTCTGGGACTCGAACCGCAATTGACTACATGGGAGTCCAGTGACATAGCCATTACGCTAACTGCTGGTCCCTAGGCCTGGCTTCTTAATACTACTTTTATATAAAGTTAACTGGATTTTTTTCTTTTTAGGAGATTGATGATTACATTGTACAAGCAAAGGAACGAGGCTATGAGACTATGGTAAACTTTGGACGGCAAGGTTTAAACTTAGCAGCTACAGCTGCCGTCACTGCAGCAGTCAAGGTAATTTTTTCCTTTACTTCTATAAATCTAATGTCACATTAGGTCAACAGAGACAATAAGGTGGCATTTTATTTCCAACCATTATAAAATTATGGCAGAATTTTGCTTAAGACTTGTTCTGCTAATACTGGAGAAAACAAGTAGATAATTGAAGGACATTTTAACATCTTATTTTCTATAACTACTGGGTATTTTGAGGCTCTTAGTTGATCACCAAATGAGAGGTAGTTAATAAATACGACATACCTGAAAATGTTATTTTGTTATAATTTTCTGCTTGTTACCATAAAGTACTCTGAATTAATCACCACTGGTAAAGATGACCATTCTTTCTTTCTCTGTCTTGACTGGTGTTCTCTCTCTCGATGGCAATATTTTGGTAGGATTTCTGGCTTACTTCTGCACCTCTCCTTCAATCAATTTGAGGTAACTGATTATTCAAAATAAGGCATGAAAAAAAAATTCTGTTCTTAAAATTTGAAAGTTTTACTTAGCCAGTTACTAATGTCATTTGTTGTGTTTGCAAGCCAAGTTATCAAATGAATGCCTTCTGTGAACATTTGCATATGGCTTTTGGATTTCTTTGCATGTAGTAATTGGTGTGGTTTATTTTAAATACCGTAGCATAATTGACTTGGGCGCACAGTATATGGAAAGAAAATAGTCTTCAGATTCTGAAAGTGCTGGGTGTGAATTTCTTTGTAACCTTGGACAATTTACTTAATTTCTGTGTTCCTTAGTTGTTTCACATATAAAATGGGAGTATTAATACCCATCTGTTAGAGCATATATAAAAACACCGTGTGTATAACAGGACCTCAACAAACATTAATATCATATGTCTACCTCAAGCCAAGTGAAAATTTGAGTTTGCTAGTAAATTAAACTGAGAGTAAGTAGTATTTTACTTTCAAGTCCATCTCTTTATTTTTTAAGAATTACTTTATTTAACTTATTTATCCATTTATTTATTTTAATTAGACCAGAGAGGGATAGAGTGAATAAGAGAGAGAGAGAAAGTGAGAAAGCAAGCCACCAGGTCCGGAACTCGAACCGTGTTTGGCCATATGGGAGTCCAGCACCCCAACAACCACACCACCTGCTAGCCCCTCAAATACTGCTCTTTTAGTTATCTTGAACTAAAAGAACAATGCTATCAAAATAATTACTCAGGGGCCGGCAAGTGACATAGGGGTTAAGGGCACTGGACTTCCACATGACTGACTACAGTTCAAGTCCCAGACCAGGAAACTTGCTTTCTCCCTTTCCCTTTCTCTCTCTGTCTTGCTCTGTCTCTTTCTGGTCAAATTAAAATAAATAAATAAAGTTAAATAAAATATTTTTTAAGTAATAATTACTCAGAGTGGTGATTTAATATAATACCAGTGCGAACGGGATATAAAAGTCAGATACTAAAACTTCTCAGAGTAATCTTTGGCTCAAATATAAAAATTAATATAATCAATAAGAAAACAATCAAATCATGTAGCAGTGTTGCACTGAGGATTAAATGGGTATTAACTATGTACTACACATGTAGAACAACTACATTGTTAATGACTCTTAATTACCAGCACTAGAATATGGTATAGTTTTCTTGTTATTTAGCTTTTTTTTTTTTAGAATTATTTTATTAACTTTATTTATTTATTTATTTATTTACATTTTAAATTTGACCAGAGAGAGAGAGAGCACGAGAGAGAGAGCAAAAGTGAGAAAGCAAGCTGCCAGGTCCAGGACTCAAACCTTGGTCGGCCATATGGAAGTCCAATGCCCCCAACCATCATGTCACCTGCCAGCCCTTTGTTACTTAGCTTTTAAAGGCTTTTCCTTTTATTGGGATAATGAAATAGCAAAATTTCAAAGACTATTTTTCATTTTAGAAGAAGTTCATTTGCTTTTTGTTGCTTAATGAAAATGCACCCCTGATTTCCAAATCTGCTAAAAAAAGATCATTCAGGAGATCTGAAATTCAACAACTAGAAGTTCTAAAAAGAGAGAATATATGAAATTATCAAAGAAATAAACCAGCAGATGATGTAATGGTTACATCACTGGACTCCCACACAGTTAACTGTGGTTCAGATCCCGGACCCAGAGACTTGAAGTTCACACCAGGTACATGTGCATGCGTGCCCAAAATCCTGAGAGGAGAATGGAGAAGGGATTGTGGTGTGGCCATCCCGGGAGGGGGGGGTAGTTCTTGCTTTTTGTCTTTCTGGCAAGCGCACACCCCCTATATATAGTAAAAATCTCTCTAAAATAAAAAAGAATGCAATAATATTTCCCAGAACAAAAGGACATGGGTCTCCAGATTGAAAGTACCTACAAAGTACCCAGTACAATGAATGAAAAGCATGAGCAACTCTAGGCAAAGTTACTAGATAGCCCAAAACACCTAATGAGAGAAGTCTTAAAGATTCCAAAGATAGGGAACAGCAGATAGAATAATGGTTTCATTGCTGGACTCCCATGTAGTTGACCACAGTTCACATCCCAGACCCAGTGACTTAAAATGCAGGCCAGGCTCAAGTGTGTGCATGCTCAAAATCCCCAGAGGGGAATGGAGGAGAAGCGACTGTGGCATGGTCATCCTCCCTAGGAGGTGATTTATCACTTTCTGTCTCTCTGGCAAGCACATGTGCCCTATATCAAAAATCTCTCTTTAAAAAAAAAAAAAAAGAATTCCAAAGATAGAAGCCAGTAGAGTGGTATAGTGGTTAAGGTGTTGGACTCACATATGGCCCAACACGATCTGAGTCTGGGACCTACCTGGAGGCTTGGAGATCACTTTGGGAGCTTGTACATATGTACCCAAAATCCCAAGAGGAAAATGGAGGAAAAGGGATTGTGGTGTGGCTGGTTTTCCTGGGGGGGGATTTCTCTCTTTCTCTCTCTCTGTCTCTGGAGAGTACACATACCCTATGGCAAAAACCTATAAAAAAGAAAAAGATTCCAAAGACAAAAAATATGTCGCCTTCAAATGGTCAAGAATCCAAATGGTATTAAATTTCTAAATAGTGACAATGAAAGCCTGAAGGTAGAATAACATTATCTATGATGCCATCATGATTTTCACCCTCAAAAATCAATTTCTGTAATGATCAAATTCTCAGTTGTGAATTTTAATTTTTTTTTAGAGAGAGAGATATTTTTGCTATAGGTCATGTGCTCTCACCAGAGAAATAGAGAGACAGAAAGTGAGAATTCACCTCTCCCCCAGGGGAATGGCCACATCACAAGCCCTTCTCCTCCATTCTTCCCTCAGGATTTTGGGCCTGCGCATAACATGCGCCTGGCGCGAGTTTTAAGCTGCTGGGTCCAGGACTCAGTCTGCAATTGATTACATGGGAGTCTAGCGACCTAACCATTTTTGCCATCTGCTGGTCCCTTCCCTTCATTCTTAAAATAAGCATTATCTCACCAAAATGCTATAAAGGCAAACCTTTATTCATTTTTCTAGCTGTCTTCTTTGTGATTTGTGGGTTTTATTTATGTATTTAACACATGAAAATCACCTCTTTACCCTAAAGGCAGAAGGCAAAGAACATAAAAATCATCAGGCTTACTATTGCAAAACAAATAGAAACAAATAGCTCGCAATTGAAATTGATTTTGACATTGTCCCCACTTGTTCATTATAACATGATTTTCTTATTGACAAGATCCCTATTTATGAAGGAAGCTTTGCCATTCCCCTTATCAATACAGGAATATTGAAGACTCTATTCTGGAGTCTATTTTGTCTTTTATAAATAGTCATTAAATGGGCCAGCCCCCTGGCCTGGTGATTAAAAGAGCCAGATCCCACATGACTGTCAGTGCAGTTCCAATCCTGGATTCAGCAACTTGAGAAACATGTCAGCCATGTGCGCATGCATGCCCAAAATCCAGACAGGATAAAGAAACGAGGAGAAGGGATTGGGTGTGACCATGACTCATGGGGGTGAAGGATTATTTTCTCCCTCGGCCTCTTTGTTTCTGACTAGCACACGTGCACTCTGGCAAGTTTCTAAAAAAGAAAAAGAAATGGTCATTAAATGTGTTGAATCTAGCGCAATGTTAATGCTATTTGCGTCCTGTTACAGTGTGCTTATTTTAAAGTAGGTGAAATTAGTTTCACCTCTGGAGATTTCAAGAAAAGGCATTGTCATGGAAGAATCATTGAACCAGACACTTCACAGTGAAGAGTAAATTGAAACTGATACAGGAAGTAGGTCAAGTTTAAGGAGAAGCTGCAAGAAAGCCAAGAGTAAGCCTTGAGAATTATTTAAAATTTTTACTATACATAGTTTCTTAAAAATATCTTTTAGGCTAAAAATTCTTGAACTCTTGGTATGACCTTTAAGGCATAGATACCCCTGACTAGGTTTCCTAGGTTGAGCCACCTGAGCCTGTTAAAGATGAAAATAGGAATCTAATCAGAACATTTATTACACCGTAAAGCAATTTTCTGAAAATGCTACTCAGTTCTGTGACCTCATTACCAGGCATCTGTTCACAAGGTCAGTGTACAAGTTTATTTTGGCTGAGCAAAGCACAAACATGTGAAGGTCCTTCAAGGATTTTGCTGAGGAGATTCAGCATTCCAAGCTTTTCACATGAGAAATGCAGGTGGCTTTTGTACAGATGAACAGCACTACTGCCAGCTGAAGGACAGATGAAGAAAAGTACTCTTAGTCATATTAACCACCTCTTTGAATTTTCTCTGGTGGCCTTTTCTTGGTGAATTCTTTAGCAGATATAAAAAATTAATTGTCACAGAAATTCAAGCTTTATAGCTAAAATTACTGAAATCTAAATGACTTTAAATGATCATGATTAGATCAGAAATCCTGACATCTTGCTGTCTGTTCTAATGGCTTTCTATTTGTGAAAGGATTCAAGGATTATTTAGCTGCTTTGATTCATCTACTAAAAAAGAGATTTGTCCTGACAGTGGAAAAGAAAGGTTATACTATTTTCTCTACATCTTGGGAAACAGAATAGTGTATTGAACA